GCGAACAGTGGTGGGTAACGAAAGCAAGAGATATAGAAAAGGCAGCGGCAATAGGTAATAGCAGACGATTGTTCAGACTCGTTAAGGAAACCGGAATTAAAAACCCGACCGTTAGCGAAACAATCTCAGAGAAAGATGGACATATATCATTCTCAATCCAGGAGATTGGATCGATGGGCAGAACACGTTAGGGATGAGTTCAACTGGCCTTCAGCCACACTTCGGTTTCCCACGATCTCTAGTCAACCTGAATGGCAAGTTAATGTAAGTCCTCCGTCCCTTTACGAAGTTGAAAAAGCCATAGGAAATCTGAAACGAGGGAGAGCAGCAGGCCCTGACAGGTTTACTCCTGAGATTTTTAAGGATGGTGGTCCAGTATTAGCAATGAGATTAACCGAGGTCTTAGGTAGAATTTAGGAACTGGACGTAATCCCATCTGACTGGTCTCAATCACTGATTGTGCCAGTCTATAAGAAAGGACAAAAGTCCTCTTGTGACAATCACAGAGAAATCAGTTTGACTAATATAGTGTCTAAAATATTAGCTTCAACAATACTTCGACGCCTAACCAAAGCTCGTGAAGAGTAGATTGGAGAAAGCCAGGCTGGTTTTCGACCTGGACGTGGCTGTATAGACCACATATTCACACTACGTCAGGTTCTAGAACACAGACACACATTCAGACGCCCCACAATGGTAGTATTTCTCGACCTTAAGGCGGCATTCGACTCTATTGATCGTGAGGTTCTATGGCAGTGTTTGTCACTGAAAGGAGTACCAAAGAAGTACATTAACCTTATGAAGGCTCTTTACTCGAACACAACTGGTAGAGTGAGAGCTTATGGCGAACTGTCATCAGAATTGATTACCTCAAGTGGTGTTCGTCAGGGCTGTCCACTCTCCCCATTCTTGTTCAACTTTGTGGTCGACGTACTTTTAGAGATAACACTCTCCTCATCTAAATTTCCAGGGGTTGAATTTCTACCGGGAGGTTCACTTGTTGACTTAGAATATGTAGATGACATAGTTTTATTTGGTGAAGACGCTGACAAAATGCAGAGTCTTCTGACCACTCTAAGCAACAATGCAAGCATGTTCGGGATGCGATTCTCTCCCTCGAAATGCAAAATGTTGCTTCAGGATTGGGTTACATCGACACCCGAACTAGTGGTAGGGAGTGAAGTAGTTGAGTGTGTCGACCGCTTCACTTATCTGGGAAGTCTCATCAGCCCTTGTGGTCTGGTGTGTGACGAAATCTCAGCACGGATACAGAAGGCTCGACTAGCTTTTGCCAACTTGCGTCATTTATGGCGTAGGCGAGATATCCGTCTATCAACCAAAAAACGCGTTTACTGCGCAGCAGTTCGTCCCGTCCTACTTTATGGCAGTGAAACATGGCCGGTAAGAGTAGAGGATATCCGTAGGTTACTAGTATTTGATCATAGGTGTCTTCGAAATATTGCTCGTATATCCAGGGACCATCAAGTAAGAAACGCAGTTGTTAGGAAATGGGTACTAGGTAAGGATGGCAAGTCAATTGATGAAGTAGTGAAACTTCATCAGTTGAGATGGCTGGGACACGTGTTACGTATGCCCAACCACCGACTGCCTCGACGTGTTATGTTCAGTGGTATAGGAGTAGGTTGGAAGAAAGCTAGGGGCGGCCAAACCAAAACATGGCACAAGTCCATGAAGTCACTGACAAGTGGACTGAGTCATGTTGGTAGGTGTAGACTACCTGGTTGGGGACCGCAAGATGATAGCAACCGATGGTTAGAGACCCTGAATGACATGGCTCAAAATCGTTTGCAATGGCGCAGGTGCATCCACTCTCTGTGTTCTCCGAAATTCTAATCTGAATTCTTCATGTCCCTTTTTTCCTCTTTTCAAATTTATTTCACTGGATTATACTCTTTGAATAACATCTCCAAACCCTAATCTTCCCGATTACTGCTTATACTCTTATTACCTCTACCACTACGGGATTTGAATCGACAACTGCATCTCTGTGCTAATGTGGTGTGGCAACTCGAACTGATGTACGTACGTACAAAGTTCTACGTTGTTACTGACTGACTGACTCTTTATTTACTACATATGAATTTTGGGCACCACAACGATATATATATCATACAAATAGAGAAATGATATTGTGAAGAACTAAGAGATGGATGTATAAGAGTACAGTCAAAGAAGTAAGTAAACAAAAATGGTGTATGATATAAGATACAGTTCATTTAGTAAGCGTCTTTCACTTAAGGGAGTTCTCCTCATTTATAATGAAAATGTAAAATATAACCACATTAAGATTAATACTGGGTCTTTTTTAGCCTATTTCATTTAACATCACCAACTAACCGATTTATTTACGCTGACCTTAAGCAGATAGTCTTCATTTACTAACATGGCTGAAACCAACAGTCAGTTACCAAATGGACTCGTACAGTGTTTTGCTTACGCCACACTCGAAGCTTTTTTTTCAACATGAATTTTGTGGCGTTGTATGATTTTCATTAAATAACGGTGAAATTGTTTTCTTCTGGTTAGACGGTTCATTCATGAAGCCTCCATAGTCTTTCTAGTTATCAAAAGAATCTTCATGTGGAAGTGAGATCTATCATAAGTCCTCCACAACTGAATAACAGCTTATTTTGTCAACATTAAATTCGATTAGCTGCTGTCGACCTTGGTTATCTCCTACCTTGACTTGGTTCATGGCGTTTTACTCCTTTATGGTTTTTCTAATTGGTTGATAATTTAAGTGTGACTCGGATGTCTATCAAATGTTGATTGACTTGAATGATAAGCCTTTCAAAAATCTCTGGTCAATTTTGTCTCTCTTCGAATGTCCATTGTTTTCTAGCTCAATACAATCTCAAGCTTTTCGTGATGTTAACGTCTACAAAAGGCTATGAAAGCTTTACGATTAAATCATCCAGCTCGAAGCATGGAACTCCACCAAAATCATTCACCTAAACTACACCATCTTACTAAACATTATCCCATATGAGTTGGTCGGATTATTTTTATAGACACCATTTGCTTAATGCGACCTACATGAAAGAAATCTATACCTGAATTTTGACCAGAAAAAAACCGATTCGAACTTCTACTTTACGACTTGTTTTACTACCCAACTTAACATCTCACCGGCAGTAGTAAATTCCTAACCACAATTTATATTACTAGTAAGTAGCTCAAATATTCCTAAACAATTTATCCGGAATTCATCTGGAATGATCACTTCTCGTAGTAAACCGTTAAGTCAATCAGTCGTAAATAGTAAGTGTTAATTTGGTATGTTGGTCAAACGTTTTGCTTGAAATTCAAAAAATATTCGAACTTTAGAATTTTACAGCCTAGATACTACAAAGTATATGACTTCATTTGGATATATGATGTATTAGCGTTTGAAGCAATAGGTTTCTAGGTTCGAGTCTCAAATATAAACATCAACATTAGGATACAGGTACCATCCAGCTAAGGAGTTCAGAATAGAATGTAACACACTATGGATTTGAATATTAACTGCTACTGCTATTAACTGCCATTCATGAACTAGTTATGAACTTTTCAAAAAAACATTCATTCGCTCTTATATTCTTTGTCCTTAAATAGTTTGACTGAAATACTGATCATGTTAATTGATGATGATTATTTTCGAGAACTATAAACTGTAGTTATGTAAGTATTGAAATTTCTGAAAATTCCATCTTTAAATAAACCTATGGTATCAGATGAAGTGATTACTGCTACCATCCTTATCGTTATTATTTGTATCTTGAACGATCTGTTCAAATTACATTAATCAGGTTAATTATGTTTTTTTTTTCCTTGAAAAAACAATGGTAGTTTTACTTATATATTGGATGAGATGACTTCTGATTTTACAAATACTTAATAGATTTTTGATTGTTTAATAAATGTAACATACAGTGTGGGAACTTTTTGGGTGATAATTGTAACCAGTGGAGCTAATCCGTGTCGGGTAGAAACAGGCGTCTACCTCAGTAAAATGGAAGATGGTCGCGCAACTTCGTGAATTAGTTGATGTTAGATATTAACACCATTGGATGCCGGCTCAGTGGTCAAGTAGGTTAAGCGTTCACGCGCGAGACTGAAGGCCCCGCGTAAGAATTCCGCAAGCGGGATCGTAGATGCGCACTGTCATGAAGTCCGACAATAGAACGAAACGACCGTCCAGTGCTTCCAGGTTTTCAGTGGTGTTCTAACATCAGTCGGTTCATGATCTCAATCAAGAAGATAATTATTTTGTTTGTCATGTAATATAAATCCTATGGATTTTTTTTGAGTCTTAATGCATTACCGACTTGATATTAGGTAGTTGGAGGCAATCGATTAGAAGCTCCATACTAAACCTTACTTTTATTTAGCACATAGTCTTACAGATCATTCCCGGCTGGAATAGCTCTGTTGTAATATCTTTAACTGTGAAATCAGATGGTGCAGATTAAACTTTTACAGAGATTATCTTTTAAGTACATCTTATATTGATTAAAAATCAATATAATTAGTTCTGTATATTGTAATCCATTCCGGATAGGCTTTGAAGTACTTGACTCGTATTGATTCTAAATTTGGTCATATTGGTAATACTTACTTATTGATTAGATTTATAACAGTAAAATTAACACAAATAACTAAATCATCCATTTTATATCCTTTACTACTTGCTTTGTATTATAATTAAACAGCTCTTTTCTATGTTAAGTAAGCGCTAATGACTAAAAAATAACCCTTTTTTTCAGTGTAATCAAGTGACTAGACAATACGATACAATCCAAATGTTTGTGTAGAAAGTCAATAAACATCACCTTAATACATTTCTAATCGTACACAGAATATACCCACTGAGTTGTAAACTAAGAAAGATTGGTTCAGGGAAAAGTTCACTTTTCGACGAATTCATTTTCAAAGCACTATAATCTCAATTATATACTTCTTTTTTCCCTAAATTTTCCCTTCTATATTCTCTACAGATCCTTTACTTACTTACGCCTGTTACTACTCGTGGAGGAGCATAGGTCGCCCACCAGCAGTCTCCATCCAACCCTGTCCTGGCCAACTTTTTCCAGTCGTTATTCATCCTTTTCATATCTGCTTCTATTTCCCGACGTAATTTGTTCTTTGGCCTTCGTCTTTTCCACTTCTCTTCAAGATTCCAAGTCAGGATTTTCCTCGTGAGGCAGTTTGGCAAGACTCTTTACACTCAACTATTTTGTTTAGGCTTCTATAATCCCTCTGATTACTGTTTATTACAATTTCAACATTTTATCACTTTCAGCTTTCCTTTGCCAATTATAATTTCATTATCTGTCATCATGATGAATACTCAAGTTCTCAAACAACAAAATTATTATTAGTTTTTTTAGTAAAAGTAACGTTTTAGTGAATGGGAACACAAATAGGGACAATCAAATGTATTTGAACACAAAACTACAGGATATCTTAGTAAAATCTGAGGACCATACAGTAAATACTTCATTTACAAAAGGTTCGTTAATTGTCTCAGACTTGATTGTTCCTGCATTTTAATATCAATTGCTTTCTGTTCCTGTTCTTTCCTCCTCGATCTTTTCGACCTTCTGCTTGCAGACATTCTATTCCTGACTAGCATTTATACTACTTATGTTAATATAAGTGGCATACATCAACGTTTTCACTGCTTTCGTTTATTCTATCTCACTGTTACCATGTTTAAGAGAATTTTATTATCACCACCATTGTAATTATTAAACTTTGAACAACCTAGTTGTATCTCTATTTAGTCATTGTTAGGTTGGCTAGAATGTATTACTAATTTAGTTATCATGGAAGTCCAGTGCTTCAATCACTATGCTTGGGTTATCCTTAACACCTCTAATATTCAATAAATGTGTTATATCCAATAGTTTCAGTTATTTTTGCACTTGTTGAAAGATTAAGACACGTGTTACGTATGCCCAACGTGCAATATTTTATGCTGTAGGAGTAAGTTTTAAGGAAGCTAAGGGCGATCACAGCAAAATATGGCACAAATCCATGAAGTCATTGACAATTGGACTGAGCCATGTTGGTAGGTGTGAACTACTTTGTTGGGATCCGCGAGACGATAGCAATCGATGATTAGAGACCTTGAATGACATGGCTCGAAATCGTTTGCTATAGCGCAGGTGCATCCACTCTTTGCGTTCTCCCAAATTCTAATCTTCTGAAATCTTCATGTCCCTTTCTTTTTTCTCCTTCCAAATTTGTTTCACTGAATTATACTTCTTGAATAACATCTTCAAACCCTAATGTTTCCGATTAGTGCTTATTCGTTTACTACCTCTACCATCATGGGATTAAAATCGACAATTGTGTCTATGTACTAATGTGGTATGATAGCTTGAACTGATGTCTGTACGTACGAAGTTCTACGTTGTTACTGACTGACTGACTGACTGACTGACTGACTGACTGACTGACTGACTGACTGACTGACTGACTGACTGACTGACTGACTGACTGACTGACTGACTGACTGACTGACTGACTGACTGACTGACTTGTTTAAAGATAAGAAGTTAAATATTTTTTGTATGATATTCACCAGTGATTGAATATCGAGTTATAACTTCCGTTACATTCGTCTTTTCTATCAAGCATGTTAAGGTACATTATATTAGTATACTTAGATTTGAAGGTTGAGAATAATTCTCTAGAGGTTTGAAATGAAATCTTCAATGAAAATTTCATAACAATATCCAGCATATCCAGTATTAAATGAACGGAAAAAAAAGTTAGATACAATGTAATTATTCCAATGAGTAATATTCAACAAACTACTTAAGCTTTCAAGATGGATAGTTGTTGGGATATTCAGAAAAATATCCCAAAAATTATCCTGTTAAGTTTAATGGTGTCCTTGGACTTTAAATGGACATTTCTTATTGGTCAATGTTTATTTCACTTGTCAAATATTGTACCAATGTTGTTTTCTATTTCATGATACGGTGTGGTCTGCTTGGCTGGTATATAAACAGAGTATGTTTGAAATGTAACGATTCATATCTCAGAGGCTGAGACTTGTGTTCTGGACTCAACTGACTGGGCTAGACAGGAAAGCAGGGTCAATCCGAGCCCTAGGTCGTTCTCACATGTCTTATGCGTCTTTGGTCTGGTCGATAATTCGCTAAACTCCAATCAGCAGCCTTTTTCACGTTACAACAATAGTGTCTAGCAGGGTAATTCAAACTACTAGCGATTATTCATGATTGCTTAGAATGCTTGTGAATTAATGCTATATCAAAGCAATCCTTACAGTATACATATATGCCAATAGGAGGATACAAGTAAAACAACATCAAGTGACTTCAAACTTCACTCCATTAAATAAGCGAGTGGCTATCAGGACTTTGTAGTTAAGTGGATAGTACGATGGTGTTTGAAGTGAATGGTACTTAGTTCGAGTCTCGGAGTGAACATCAACTCTGTAATACAAGTACATCCAGTTGACGAGTTCCAAATAGGACGAAGTGGCGCCCATCCTGAATTCCACTGCTAACCACTATCCATCTTTGCTCAGAATACTTATGAATTAAGGTAATATCAAGGCAATTCGTACAATATGCCAATAAGAAACTGATCAATTGCAATTCTAAACATCCATAAGAAGAGACAAGTAAGCAACATCAAGTGTACTTAAGTTTCTTTAAGTAAATAGGAAGAAAAATGTTTGTTTATATTATCAAATGTTGATGTTATTCAGAATATGCATTAATGTGAGAAAATGAATGAAATTAAACGAAGATTAGTTTAATTGCAAATTCCCCCCCACCACCACCAAGAAAACTGCTAATATTTAAAGGGTGGTGGGTAAATTGTAATTTTGCCTCCTTACAAATATTATTACGTAATTATTATTATTACTGAATGTGTTGTGTATTGTGATCAAGTGTGAATTACACACAAACTAACATACTAACACATAAAATGTTTATTACATAAATAAGCTAAATCACAAAAATATACAAAAACCCCTTCTGATAATAGTCATCATATGCTCACTAGTGATTGGCTTCAAGAAGTATTTCCTGGAGTTCTAGTGAGAAGCAGTAACCAGTGGAGTTCAATTGGGTCTGTTGTGACATAGTAACTCACTGAAGATAATGTTGAATGTGTCGTTCACTTTCATGGATTAGTTTAAGTTAGACATTAAAACCGTTAAATTCAAAGGTATTTGAAATAGGAAACTAATTGTAAGATACGATTCTTGTTAAATCATTAATCAACCGAATTAGATTCATACCTGACTATTACTGGCTTCGTTATTGTTTGTTGATTCAGGAGAATATAAATATTATATTGTTAATTGAGGGCCGCATTCCTACAATTGAAGGAAATATAGAACTTAAAACAAATTTCAACCAATATCAAAGTGAGAATCTTCAATACGAACGCCAAGACAGTTGCTACTGTACGAAGCTGAAACTTGGAGGACTACTACAACCATCATCAAGAAGGTACAAGTATTTATAAATAATTGTCTATGCAAGAGACTCAACATCCATTGGCCGGATACCATCAGAAACAGCCTATTGTGGGAGAAGACAAACCAGCTTCCATGTGAAGAAGAAATTAGGAAAAGACGATGGAAATGGACATACATTATGCAAATCATCAAATTGCATCGAGGAGCAATCCCTAACTTGGAATTGTGAAGGTAAGCGGAAAAGTGGAAGGTCAAAGAACACATTACGTCATGAAAAAGAATCAGATGTGAAAAGGATGAATAACAAGTCGAAAGAACTGGAAAGGATTTCCGAGGACAGAATTGGATAGAGAGTGTTGGTGGGCAGCTTATGCTCCTTGACAATGGGTAACAATCTCATGATATTGCTTGATCGTCATCAAAATTTAATCATATGATGTTCACTTATAAAATCTTTAAAGGTGTTGGGGACGTTAGATCGCCAGAACTCACTTGGGAAAGGACCTAATTTTGTAATTTTATATAGAAAATTTGAATTTCTTAGTTTTCGCGCCAAAGGCACTCTTGTTACCTTCATGTTGTATCTCCCACTGGGAAATATCTTAAATGCTATTGGTCCGTTGCGTCTTTTACTATGCTATTTGGTAACTCTCCTCAAGGACGGTTTTGTACTGTCTATATACGTTTTGAATTGTGTTTGTTATCATCACTCGTTTCTGGCTGTTTTTTTTACAGAATATACTTTCCCATTCCAAACTTGGACTTCTGCTTCTAGTTAAAGGGTCTGGGATGCATCAAATAGCTAGTTTACTGGTCTTTGGTCACTGAGGTTTTGTTCTCGTTCACAGATTAAGTGAACTTGTGACAGATTCAACCGTAGATAAAGGTTTGTATAAAATCACTCAAATGTGTTCGTTTAATATTGTTTCATATTTTCTTTTCTGTGAGAAGAAGAGAGATAGCACTTACTCCGTAATTCTCTCTGTAGTTTATTGTAATACTAAACTTACTTGAAATTAATCCATCATTTTGACCTCTTTCTATAATCCTTCCCTTTTATTCATTCAATAATGCTTGTAATATACGTTTCCTACTTGGGATTACACTCAGTTTTAAGACAGAATAGATAAATGTGGATACATTTAAGAATTCAATTTAAGGATTTCTCTAATATGGTTTATATAAATGAATGTTTCTCAACTCATATTAACACTTAAGTAGGTGAATTAATGACATAGTTATAAACTTTATATTTGAATAATTTGAAATGTTAAATCATTGAAGTGAATCAGTAAAACAATTCTCAGATCGTATTTTATGTCAGTTTGAATACATCAGGAAGAGGTAGATGTAATGCTGAGGCAAATGCGAGGGGGCTGATACTCCTTGTGGGATACCATTGAAAACTGATATACTATCATTAAGCTAAGTCGATTTGTAGTTTTAACTAAGGATTGCCAATTTATCATATTGTTGAGTACTAATTTAAGTGAAATTTTGATTTAACTTATCTTCAATGATCTTATTTGAGATATTGGTACAATGTGGCAACGAATACATTTGCGCTATACAAATCTCATTTGATATGTATAAGGGCTGTGATACTCCCCGCATGCCCAAATTGAAGCAGGTGGTGTTCTTAGGGGGCAACATCCGGAGCCTCCGACCTAAAGATCTGATCCACAAGGCAGTGGAGCAATGTCAGGAGATTCAGTCCCATGGTAGCCAGTGACCCATAATTGGTTCATACACCATTTGTCCCTTCAGGATACTGGAGCCCATGTGCACGATTGGTTTGGAATCAGGGTTTTCTAACTCCCCTAGGTGGACTCTCCATGTCCACCAACCCGGTTAAAGCACCGGACGTTCGCTTTTCGTCCTCACAGTTTCGTAAACACCACCCCGTCAGTAGAAGCTAATGAGTAATACTTACCTGACAGTGACTGTATACGCGTGGCTATATGAGAGCATTTCGAGAGGGAGATCTAAGTCTCCCCACCCTCAGCCGTACCAGGGTATTTGGAGGCACGAAGTGAAATAATATTGTGAAGATTAAAAATATCGATAAAAATATATGGCATAAGAATTCAGTAATACATAATTTGTTTTCTTTTTGTAACCTGAACTAAAACATTGTTTCATATGATTTACCTATTGCGTGATACATTACAACTATTATATTATAATAATGCTTGTGACTTAAATTAATAACGATGCAATCCGCCTAAGATTCAAATTCCAAAAGAGTTGGTTATCTCAAAGTACTAATCATCAATGAGAAGAAACAAGTAAACAATGCCAAGTGAATTTAATCTTCACCCCATTGGACAATCAAGTGGTTATCAGGACTCAATAGCTAAATGTATAACGTGATGGTGTTTGAAGCAAACGATATTAGGTGCGAGTCTCGAAGCGAACATCAACTCTGAGATGTAGCTACATCCAATTGACGAGTCCCCCCCCCCAAAAAAAAGATGAAACGTGTGTCCCAGATTCCACTACTATCAACTATCATCTCTGAATAATATTATTTCTATTTTTATTGAATACTGTCCATCTCTTAGAGACACATTGACATATTGACGTTAACAACACTAGTTACAATAAAACTGCTAAAATCAAATTGTCAGAATGGGTTTTGTGGAGATTTAAGAAATTTCACAGATTGAAATCATGAGTCAGTTGAAGCTAGACCACCATTGAAAACCTGGAAGCACTGGACG